TAGTAAAAAAAAGCCTGCTGTGTTTACATTTTTGTTATCGTAAATTCTCCACACCGATTCATTTAATTTATCTGAGTGGTGCGTCAAACTAGAGGCCGATCCGCGTACAAGCGTGCGTGCTATTGCACATGAAATGGGAGCGTCTCAAACTACTGCTTGGCGGGTTTTCCATGACCAGCAACTACACCCATACCACCTTTTAAAAGTCCAAGACATGGGTCCAGAAAACTATCTGCCGCGTCGACGTTTTTGTCGTTGGTGGCTGCAGTAGGAGTTGAGGCAACCAAACTTTGGTCGCTACGTTTTGTTCACTGACGAGTCCTGTTTCACAAAGGACGTTTATTTTAATAGCCGTAACAGTCACATTTGGGATGAAGAAAACCCTCATGCCATAGCCATCCATAGAGACCAACATAGTTTTCAATTAACATCTGGTGCGGCATTGTGGACGAGCATATCATCGGGCCATATTTGCTTCCACCACGTTTGGATGGGCATGCTGATGGTCGATTCTTACAGCATGTGCTACCGGAACTATTAGAAAATGTGCCACTGGACATAAGAGCCAACACGTGGTTTCAACACGATGGCGCTCCAGCCCACTTTTCTTTACAAGTGCGGCAGTATTTGGACGACAAATAGGTGGATAGGCCGAGGTGGCCCTGTGCCTTGGCCTGCGCGGTCACCCGACCTGACCCCACTGGATTATTTTCTCTGGGGCAATCTGAAAGCTTTAGTGTACGAAACTACTGTTCCCAACCAACAAGAGCTACTGGGCAGAGTGATGGCCGCGTCCGCACATGTTCAGGACATACCGGGGGTATGCCACAGAGTTCGCCGATCATTGAACAATCGTGCACAGCTGTGTATTGAGCAAGGTGGAGGACACTTTGAGCAATTACTGTAGGTAAGCTGTTTCAAGAAACTGATCTTTTTTTTTTGCTGCATCCCAAACGGCATATTTCCGAACAGGGGTTTATAAGGCAAAATTGTTCATTTTGATGCCCTCTACAACCCCTATCATTTTGTCGCAATAATTATGGAACACCCTGTATAATCTTAATGTTATTGGCGAGATGCCTAAAAACCAAACTAATACCGTTTCAAGGCTACCCCCTTATCAATGCGAATCAAATCTCATTGAAATGATTTGGGCAAATATAAAAAACTATGTGGCTACAAACAATAGAGCATTCAAATTTTCCGACGTGAAAAATTTGTTTTATGAAGCTGTTAACAGAGTGCCGGTAAACCATTGAAAATATTGCATCAGTCACGTACAAGAGATAATCGAAACAAGAATGTGGGATCTGGACAATATGATCGATATTCAAATTGAATCTGTAATAATCAATATTAACCATTCGGCACCTGTTTCTATCAAAAAAATCATTTATTTTGTTAGATTATTCCAAGACCATTGCGGAAAATACCGACCTGTATAGCTTACGATTAAATTTGCAGCCTTGTAGCCGGGATAGCTTACGTCTTTATCTGTAGCCTGTATCAGTTGCCGACTGTCATCGTCTCTCTCCATCGAGAAACATGGTGTGGGATACCATAGTGCGCCATCAGTTCATTACCAGGCATTAGACATTCCAGACCCCTACTGAGCGAGGGCCGTGGCAAATGCTTGTTCCGAAAGTTGTTGTATCCAGTATACAACTTCTTCCCGTCCAAGTGATTGTGCACGCGTGCAGGAATACCTCAGTACCGATTGCCGGGTGGCGGTACAAGTCCGCCAACGGGCCACTTTAGGTCTATTTAACACCACTAACACGTAAAAAGAAGGTGGTAGACAAGGACCAGTCGACCGAGGCAGTACCACCCGCTAGCTTTTCTTATAAATGTCCGCATGTTTCCACACCTAAGCTATGCAGTCGGTTATCTATCAAAACAAAGAAATTAATGATGATGGATCCCTCGAGCACTAAAAACTCCGGACGTAAACTCACTCCACTCTCGGAATGTCCGGGTGGAGGGTGGGCTCGAGGGAACAACATCGAAGATAAAATTTGTTTTTCGAACATCTGCGGGATCAACAGCAACATTGACGCTGTTCATCACTACCTGCAATCCAATCGTCCCGCGGAGACAAAAATCTCAGAGACTGCACCGATTAACCATCTCAACTTCCCAAACTAGGAGGTGCACTCAAATCTGAGAAAGAACGGGGGAGTTGTGGCTTTTGTCCGCAGCAGTCTTTCCTGCTCCAGAGATCTTTCTTTGGAATCAGACCGGAAGGACATTCTGTGGCTTCGCCTCAACTCCAAAACATCACCCAAATCTATTTGCTGCCTTTATCGCTCTCCCTCGAACCAGAACTGGGATGACCTACTCGAATACCTCGCCGTCCAGATCGACTTCCTGAACATCAATCACCCCGCTTCAGAGGTAGTTCTTCTCGGTGATTTCAATGCCCATAATGAGCTTTGGTTGGGCTCAAATAAGACCGATGCAGCAAGTCGTGCAGTCGAAGCGTTCGCTCTTACTCAAGGGCTGACCCAGCTGGTGACGAGCCCTACTTTTTTCATCCGCGTCTCGTCACACGCCAGTAGCCGGCTGGATCTCTTTCTGACCACGCATCCTGCCCCTTACAGCATTGCTGTCCTGTCCCCCCTGGGTAACTCAGATCACGCTGTTGTGGAGGTTAGGTTTCGGTCAGAAGCCGCTGTGGCAGCAGAAACTCGCACAGGCCGCAAAACTTGGCATTACGTACATGCCGACTGGAAGGGGCTCAGAGACTGCTTCTCTAGCTTTCCTTGGAGAGATGTCTGTTTCACTGACGCGGATGCGTCGACTGTCTGTTCTTCAATAACCGAAATTATCCACGTCGGAATGGAGGAATACATCCCTCACACAGTGAAAGTTCCTAAACCAGGGTCCAACGGCTGGTTCAACAAATCGTGTGACACTGCTCGCCAGCAGAAGATCAAGGCCCACAGAACCTACTTACAAATCCCTACTGTAGAGAACAGACAAGCCGACGTCGATTCCAGGAACAAATATAACGAAGCGGTTCGCAATGTCAAAAACCAGCATGATAGAAAAGTTAGGCACAGGGTAATGTCGCAGCGCAATGGCAGTCGGTCTTTCTGGACGCTGGCCAAGCAGATTGGAAAGAACTTCTCACACAGTAGCCTTCCACCACTTACGTGTCAGGATGGAACTATTGTATTCGACTCAAAGGCCAAGGCGGAAGTGCTAGCCAAGATCTTTGCTGCCAACTCCACCATGGACGTCCCCACCAACGCCCAAGTGCCGTCAATTCAAAGGGTTCCCCACACTATGCGGGAGGTAACATTCAGGCATAAGACCGTAAGACGAGTGCTCTTGTCGCTCGACATCAACAAAGCTTCTGGTCCGGACTTGATTCCTGCCATTGTACTGAAGAGATGTGCAGCGGAGCTTGCTCCAGTTCTTTCGCGTCTCTTCCAGACATCTTATGAATTTGGCACCTTCCCAGAAAACTGGAAATTTGCTCATGTACAGCCCATCCCAAAAAAAGGATCTAAAACCGACCCTTACAACTACAGGCCTATACCTCTGCTTTCTGTTATGAGTAAAGTGATGGAGAGGTGCATAAATCGCGAGCTTCTGGACTACCTCGAACGTCACAGCTTGATTAGCGACAAGCAGTATGGTTTCCGGCACCAACGATCCACAGGGGACCTACTAGCTTACGTCACGCAACTGTGGAGTAAACTCATCCAGTCTCATGGTGAGGCTCATGTTGTTGCTCTTGACATCACGAAAGCGTTCGATCAGCTGTGGCACGCTGCCCTCTTAAGCAAACTTCCATCCTATGGCCTCCCAGAAAAGCTTTGCAGATGGGTGGCTGACTTTATCTCTGGCCGAAAGATATCCGTCGTAATTGACGGATTCTCCTCTTCATCCCACAACGTCAACGCGGGTGTTCCCCAGGGATCGGTCTTGGCTCCAACACTGTTTCTCTTACACATCAACGACCTCCTTTCCTGCACGATCAACCCAATCCACAGCTTCGCTGATGACAGCACTCTACATGCAGGAATTCAGAGTGACAAGCCGATCTCTGCCGCTGAGCTGGAAAAAAGAAGACTAGCGACGACTTCTTCTCTGATAAGAGACCTGGAGGCTATCACTGCTAGGGGACGCAACAATCTTGTACAGTTCAATGCTTCCAAAACACAGTACTGTACTTTGACGAACAAAAAGCGTCCTAGCGCTCATACAGTTTCGATGGACGGTCGAGTTCTACCAAAGAGCCATTCATTTCGGCTGGTCGGAGTCCAGATCACCGAGGACCTGATCTGGCACGAACACATCTCTTCAATAGCTGCAGCTGCTGGGAAAAAGCTAGGCTATTTGTTTAGGGCTAAGAAGTACTTTTCTCCGCATGACCTTCTCACTCTATACAAGGCCCAGATAAGGCCTAGCCTCGAGTATTTGCTCACATATTTGGGGTGCTGCCGCTCCGACTACATTGTCCATGCTCGATGCTGTCCAGAGGAGCGCGGTCCGACTGATCGATGACTCTTCTCTAACAGACAGTCTCGGGACTCTTTCGCACCGGCGGGCCGTCGGCGATCTAGCTCTTTTCTATCGCTACACCAACGGGCTTTGCTCCTCAGAGCTCTCTTCCATGATGCCGCCGCGCGATGTGCCTGTCAGACAGACCCGCCTGACTTCGGCGTCCCATCCTAACCGTATCAGACTTCGTACATCCAGAACTGGCCGATACGACCGCTTGTTTGTCCCGAGGGTGTCTAGATTGTGGAACAATCTACGGGAGAAAGCTTTTCCCAGTTCTACTAACCTTAGGCAGTTCAAAAATCGTATTAACAAAATTTCTTTGGGATCATCATAGCAGCCGCGGTGTTCCGGCATTTAGGCTTCTGCCTGCGCGGCTGTTTCGATATATAAAAAAAAGAAGGCTGTCGGGATGCCACGGGATAATAATAATCATAGTATAATAATGATAATAATATTGATAATAGCAGTGATAATAAGCTTTATTACCCAACAGCTAACCATTTATAGGGTCGACGAATGCTCAAGATAATGTAAGAAGTTTTTCTCGTTACCGGGAGAAAACTCCTTTCAAATACTATGCTTGTCATCCGGTATGCGTTAGCCCTAAATCGCTTTTCTCGAATTCATAGTGCATGGATGCTACATTTCTGACATATATCAATACGGTAATCCAAGTTTAGCTCCCTACTACATTGTATGAAAGCTTTACATGTTTATATAAAAATATTCATGAAATATTTCCATCTTTTTGGAGTAAACTAATATCTTCGTCATTCAGTGGGACCGCACTCAACTTTTTAGTTTCATAAAGTGAAATGGGATCAACTGGATTTGCGCGTCTGCCTTAATACATGTTCGATGTTGATACATTCCAGCACCGCTGCTCCCACTGAACTTCGTCTTGTGGCCATAGAAGTTACCACCACCCATTTATTCGTTTTCGGGTCGTACTGCTCCACTACGTTCAAACTGGATGAGCCATCGTTACCACCAAGGGCGTAGATGTAATTGTGGATGGCTACAACTTCGTGGGTTGATCTATAATAACCAAAAAAATACGCTTACCCAAGTAACTACAAAATGGGCTTCATAGACGTGACCTGAACATAACATAAAGCTTCTGCGTATGGACTTATGCAACACAATATATATCAAATGTTACAACTTATCTCCATCGTATGTTACGACTAAGATAAAACTGAATAAATCGAGCATCGATCATAACTCTTGAAATCTAAACTACAATGCTATTGCTGATTCACTTCCAACTACTTTTGGCTACTGAATCAGTTTTTCCAATATTTGTGATATTATTCAGCGGCCAGAACAACAAGGAGGTGAGATAAAAATGAGAATAATTATTTATACCTTCTATGATGCATTGAGGTTATGGGTTCCCATGCATTGCGCCTAATGTTGAATCGTTCTCCACTTGCCATACACATCGTTCCGTCGTTTCCTGAAAAATCAAACGCTTTAGTGGTATACATTGCAAAAAATCAACAAACAATTATTGCCTATCTATACAACTTTTTTTAGAATATAGTACTACTGCCAGAAAACAAATAAGAAGTTATGTTTTGGATGTCTTACGAGTATATCTATATTTTCTATCAATATATCGTATTGTCTGTCGGTCTATCCACTAGCATTCAAGCGCTACTTCATCATTTAATTAGGGGAGCTTGACATGATATGATATTTTATATGATAAAAGTATACGCCAAGTGCTAACCTGGTAAAAGAGAATAGTGTCAACGGAGTGTAGCGTTTTTCTGGGTTTTTTTGGGTAGGGATTAAAATACTGGATTCCTCAAAAAGAAATACACTAATTTATTTATCTGGTCTAGATAGAACATTTATGTACACCACTATTTATGTTTGACTAATCGTTATGTCGCGCCACTCTGCTCTGCGACTCTACCGTACTCTGCTTCCCTCTCCCGGCCGTCGAGATATATAGTCCGCATCGTGGGTCGATCAGAGTCTGGCGGGCTACAAAACGGAAGTCTAGACTCTTCGAGGTCACTTCGCGTCGATCTAGACGGCGAGTCACGGGCACGGTCCTCACAGACGTGGCCCAGCGGCTTGGGCGGTCGTGGTAAAAGTAGAGATCGGCCATGAAGCTCTGGCGTATAGTAGAGTCTCCCAACAGATGGCGCCAACAGTACTATTTAATCTCGTCACACTGCCCCCTCCCTAAAGTCATTCCGTCTCGGAATGATCTTACTGGTGGTGGATGTCGATATCGGCACAACGGCCCTCTCTTGCAGTAGGAGTTCTTGAAGAAATAACAATCCACTTTCTTTTCAGGAGGTAGCCGTCTAGGACTGTGAGAACATACCAGAAATCGAATGCCTGTATACCGGAAGACTACCTCAAGCATGGTTCGGATGATTCTCCAGTACAGGTTGTCCAGTTCACATGGCAACTTAGGTATTGCCAATTTTCTCAGGTCCTCGGCAAGAAACACTTCTCTAAGAGAATACAAAGCGTTCCAGACATCCTCGTAATTCGGTTCTTGATACGAAGCTTTCTTGGTAACCAGTTAGAAGATCTTTCGGTTGGTACCCTCTTAAGTTATCTGGAGTACTACTCCGACTTCCGGGTTAGATTGTCGCCGCTCGTGCACTCTTCCAAATTTCCTGAGAAAGACCTTTGCTATACCTCTCGACATTCGCAAGTCTTGAGCCACACAGTGTGCCAAGGCATACTCTGGTGAAGTGCTAAACAGATCTTGCTGTACTTCACATGCCACGCCATATCGACTCTTATGGCCATTACTATGGTGAGCCATAAATTGGTCAAATGTCATGTCTGGTTCTGGTTGGATTTGCCACACCGCCGCATCTTCGTTGTTTCAATGATAAGGTGCAAGGCGGTTAAAATGTACAATTAAGGCTTTACCACGTGGTGCCTTCTGAATTCTGTAGAGAACATCGTTGATGGCCTCCAGAATTGTATAAGGCCCGTCCCATCATGATCGAAGTTAAGGCTACAGCTCTTTTCGCCTCTTTGGATCGTAAAGCCAAACCGTATCACCACTGTCATACCTCTGGTCTTTGTCATTAACGTCATAAGCTGCCTTCATCCGATCGCTGGCACCTTGAATTGAAACACGAACCTGGTATGAATGGCGTCCGTTCTTCTACGCAGCTCACTTAAGTAGTCTTCTCCGGCTATATCAGTTCCTGGTGGATAGCCAAAATTTAGATCGCATGGGAGACGAAGTTCTCTTCCCATAACTATTCCAGCCGGCGTCTCTCCTGTGCGTTCATGAATCGAAGATCGGTAAGCCAATAAGAAGAGGTGAAGAAGACTATCCCAGTCCCATAAGAGTTTGACAGATACTTTGGAACAGATTTGACTCGAAATTGCACCCATGGTCCGAATGCAACTCTAAAGGTACACCAAATCGACAGATCCATTCCTTTACTAGAGCATCGGCTACCGTAGAGGCTTCCTCATTTTGCAGAGCGTATGCCTCAACACACTTGCTGAAGTAACTCATTACCACAATGAGGTACTTATTCCCTGTTTCACCTTCTGGAAAGGGTTCCATCACATCAATAGCAATCCTTTCAAAGGGGCTCCCACGTTGTATTGGCGCATCGAAGCTTTTTGTTTCCTTTGCGTTCAATTACTTGCCGAACGCGTTTTCTGCACAAGTCTTTTACGTCCTCCTTACCCTTTCCCTCACTTTTGCCAGAGTTTTTGTAACTCCAAGATGACCTCCTGATACACTGGAATGGATTTCTTCTAGCAGCTCCGGGATCCGACATCTGGGGTTAACCATTTGTCTTGTTTCCTCTTTGACGTCGTTGTCCACCATTTTACGCAGTAAGAGTCTGTCGTCCATAACGAGAGAATTCCATTGTGCCCAATATGATTTTATGGTAGCGGAATACTTGGCAACTTCTTCCCAGGCCGGTTTCCGTTATTCTTTCGCTCAGTTCAGAATTATTTGGAGATCAGGATTACCCTCTTGGTCTTTAATGGGGTCTTCATTTTGCCAAATATCACTAACGACAGTAGTTCTTAATACTTGGGCGTCTTTTTGCTCTGCCCGCGCGCAACGCTTACCATCCTCTAAACAGCATTTCCTAGCGTGCTCTCTTTTCCACATTTCCAACATTCCAACTTGCTGTTCTGGCGACAACGTTCACCATCAAGTTCCTTAACAATGCGCTTGACGAACTCTTCGAACTCGTTTTCTCCTGTAACCATCTGGCGGACTCGGACCTGACTTTTATTTGTGTTTTTAGCGGCTTCGAATTCTAAGGCCCAAGTTAGCGCATCTGCTAGCTTAGGTGGATGTGCTAGTAGTAAGGGTTGCCTCATTTCACCATCACGAAGTTTATCCAGGAATGCTTGAACTGCCAATCACTCCATTATCCTTTCCTGAACATCGGGATATGCTAATCGGAGCAACCGCGCAATATCCGCTTCAAACTACTGCAAGGACTCGCCTGACTTCTGGAACCGATTCTTTAATTGAGTATGGTAGACATATTTTAAATGTGACTGGCCATATCGCGTCTCCAAATGTCATACTAGCTGTTCGTAGACCTCTTGCTGTTCGGGTGATATTCTTTGAAGAATAGCAGCATCTCCTCGCAGGGTCAAAGTGAATGCAGTTGCCTTTTCGGACGATCACCAACCATTTGCATTCGCGGATGCCTCAAACTGACGCCGGTAGACATTCCAAGGTGTTGTACCATCAAAGTGCGGCGGTTTCATTCTCAGATGACCAGCCGACCCAACAGAAGCTCCAACATCACTTGATTTTTCCAACGGAAGTCCACGCTGTCGTTCGTTGATGTCTTGACGTCTAAAGCGGCAAACTTGCCTTGCACCTCTTGAGTTCTGTCCTCCAAAGTTTCTAGAATGCGTTTTTTTAAACTCGCAAGATTTTTCCATAATTTTATCTTCCAATTCTTTTTTTAAATTGGCAATATTTTCCAAAAACTCCTCTTCTTATTTGGCTGTGCTTTCCAAGTGTTTTCCTTCCAGGTTGGCACAATTTTTCACTAGCCTTTTTTTTAACTTGACTGAGTTTTCTAAAAGATCGGTGGTCTAGGTCGAAAGGTCTTTGCAGCACTAAACCAATATCACCTGCACCGGTAAAAATGAAAATATCCGGGTCCTCGTCTTCTTCAATCAGTGCTTGACGAAGCCGCTCCTGCAATTCTTCTTTCTTTCCAGCCGTGTCGCACTCTTTTCCTCATGCTCTCTCTTTAAGTCGGCAAATTTCCAAATCAACCAATCGCGCCATTCTTCCTTCACTGATCGTCTGATTTATTTTCAGTAAATGTACAATAATCCAACGAATAACAACACTAATTTATTTATCTTGACTAGATAGAACATTTATGTACACCACTATTTATGTCTGACTAATTCTTATGTCGCGCCACTGACTGGTCTATACTCCGCTCTGCTCTGCGACTCTACCGTACTCTGCTTCCCTCTCACGGCCGTCGAGTTACATAGTCCGCATCGTGGATCGAGAAGAGGCTGGCTGGCCACAAAGCGGAAGCCTAGACTCTTCGAGGTCACTTAGCGACGATCTAGAAGGCGAGTCACTGGCACGGTCCTCTCAGACGTCGCCAAGCGGCTTGTGCGATGTGCGGTCGTGGTCCGCGTAAAAGCGGAGATCGGATATGAAGCTCTAGTAAGTAGGCGAGCCTCCCAACAGATCGCGCCAATAGTACTATTTATTCTCGTCACACGAGGTTACCAGCTGAAGTAGAATCATTTCATGCGGAATTTGGTGTCATGCCAGCGGCCCTTACTTACCGCCTATGCAATACAAGTGCCCATTCAATGCTGCTACTCCACAACTACTTCTTCGGGACGACATGGAAGGTACTGGGTTCCAAGTTCCCTCTCTTGGGTCAAACCTACATAAAAAAGGCATAAGGACTTAAATGACGTTTGTTTACCGTGAAATTCTAAAAACATGTATTCTTTGCATGCTCGGAAACGCAGTACCCTTGTAGTACACTGGGTTTTAGAAGAATATGAAAAGAAATCGGATCTACTTGATTCCGAAGAACAGCCACAATCCTCGTTCATCAGAAAATACCTCACCTTTCGACTGAAGCTTGATAGTTCGTGGAATCAAATCCCCCAATAGCGTATATGCTGCTATCTGAAAGGAATACAAATGTTATCCATTTCAAACTACAACGAAATATTCAAAGCTATTTTTAAGCTTATATTACGAAATGCCACGAGATGAGCAAAGTTCTATTTACGTGAAAATTCAACGGGTAATAAGACTTATAGAATCAAACACTAAACGAAAATAGACATAGTATAACAAACGTGCCTACAACAGCATTTCTACAGTATCTCCTTCTTGTGTTCATCGCTGGACAACTGCACCAAATTCCAGTTAATGGATCGAACCTTTCCATCGAGCTTAAACAAGAAGCACCGTCATATCCACCACATACGTAGATTAAGCCGTCGAAAGAGCAAATTCCTGAAATAATCATAATAAGAACTTCCATTAGATTCGTAACATTGTCTCTAAATACTCCATAAGCAATAATAATCAACATTTGTCTACTCTTTTTATACACAAGAACCAAATAGCAAGCTGAATTAATGCATGTTGAAAATATGCGTTAGTTTATTCCCTATGCCCAAATAATGGTTTTACTTTAAGCGTACCCATTTTTGAATTGTGTCGAATCTGTCTCGGATCGATTTCGTACACGCAGGCAGTGATAATTTGTATTGCTTAATGGTATTTGTTACATTTTGCGACGACTCAGGATGGGTCGATTTTATCACCATCGGTGGAAGTCAAAGATAATTCTAAAATAAATTAAAACACTAGGTCGCATTAAAATGGAAATAAACAATTCTAATCAGAATGAAAATAAAATATTAAATTAAACCAGTAACCTATTCAATTGCTGAAGCATGTACGAACATTTTCTGGTGTAATGTATTGGGGACCCGGCAGATGCACAGACCTTCTGCGTCACTGTCGCTAGGTAATATGGTGATGACCTTCGCTGATCAGCAAGCTTCTATCTCTTTCTACTCATTGAACTCAAGCCTCCAGACAAATTTGGTTTTGCTTGTATAGGAACAGGCAGATACGGTAGATAATATTTTTAATAAACAGCGCTTTAAGTAGTTTTTTTTTATATCGAAACAGCCGCGCAGGCAGAAGCCTAAATGCCGGAACACCGCGGCTGCTATGATGATCCCAAAGGTTAGTAGAACTGGGAAAAGCTTCCTCCCGTAGATTGTTCCACAATCTAGACACCCTCGGGACAAAGGAGCGGTCGTATCGGCCAGTTCTGGATGTACGAAGTTTGACACGGTTAGGATGGGACGCCGAAGTCAGGCGGGTCTGTCTGGCAGGCACATCGCGCGGCGGCATCATGGAAGAGAGCTCTGAGGAGCAAAGCCCGTTGGTGTAGCGATAGAAAAGAGCTAGATCGCCGACGACCCGCCGGTGCGAAAGAGTCCCGAGACTGTCTGTTAGAGAAGAGTCATCGATCAGTCGGACCGCCCTCCTCTGGACAGCATCGAGCATGGACAATGTAGTCGGGGCGGCAGCACCCCAAATGTGTGAGCAATACTCGAGGCTAGGCTCTATCTGGGCCTTGTATAGAATGAGAAGGTCATGCGGAGAAAAGTACTTCTTAGCCATAAACAAATAGCCTAGCTTTTTCCCAGCAGCTGCAGCTATTGAAGAGATGTGTTCGTGCCAGATCAGGTCCTCGGTGATCTGGACTCCGACCAGCCGAAATGAATGGATCTTTGGTAGAACTCGACCGTCCATCGAAACTGTATGAGCGCTAGGACGCTTTTTGTTCGTCAAAGTACAGTACTGTGTTTTGGAAGCATTGAACTGTACAAGATTGTTGCGTCCCCAAGCAGTGATAGCCTCCAGGTCTCTTGTCAGAGAAGAAGTCGTCGCTAGTCCTCTTTTTTCCAGCTCTGCGGCAGATATCGGCTTGTCACTCTGAATTCCTGCATGTAGAGTGCTGTCATCAGCGAAGCTGTGGATTGGGTTGATCGTGCAGGAAAGGAGGTCGTTGATATGTAAGAGAAACAGTGTTGGAGCCAAGACCGATCCCTGGGGAACACCCGCCTTGACGTTGTGGGATGAAGAGGAGAATCCGTCAATTACGACGGATATCTTGCGGCCAGAGATAAAGTCAGCCACCCATCTGCAAAGCTTTTCTGGGAGGCCGTAGGATGGAAGTTTGCTTAAGAGGGCAGCGTGCCACAGCCGATCGAACGCTTTCGTGATGTCAAGAGCAACACATGAGCCTCACCATGAGACTGGATGAGTTTACTCCACAGTTGCGTGACGTAAGCTAGGAGGTCCCCTGTGGATCGTTGGTGCCGGAAACCGTACTGCCTGTCGCTAATCAAGCTGTGACGTTCGAGGTAGTCTAGAAGCTCGAGATTTATGCACCTCTCCATCACTTTACTTATAACAGAAAGCAGAGCTATAGGCCTGTAGTTGTAAGGGTCGGTTTTAGATCCTTTTTTTGGGATGGGCTGTACATGAGCAAATTTCCAGTTTACTGGGAAGGTGCCGGATTCATAAGATATCTGGAAGAGACGCGAAAGAACTGGAGCAAGCTCCTCTGCACATCTCTTCAGTACAATGGCAGGAATCAAGTCCGGACCAGAAGCTTTGTTGATGTCGAGCGACAAGAGCACTCGTCTTACGGTCTTATGCCTGAATGTTACCTCCCGCATAGTGTGGGGAATCCTTTGAATTGATGGCACTTGGGCGTTGGTGGTGGTGGTGGTCCATGGTGGAGTTGGCAGCAAAGATCTTGGCTAGCACTTCCGCCTTGGCCTTTGAGTCGAATACAATAGTTCCATCCTGACACGTAAGTGGTGGAAGGCTACTGTGTGAGAAGTTCTTTTCAATCTGCTTGGCCAGCGTCCAGAAAGACCGACTGCCATTGCGCTGGGACATTACCCTGTGCCTAACTTTTATATCATGCTGGTTTTTGGCATTGCGAACCGCTTCATTATATTTGTTTCTGGACTCGACGTCGGCTTGTCTGTTCTCTACAGTGGGGTTTTGTAAGTAGGTTCTGTGGGCCTTGATCTTCTGCTGGCGAGCAGTGTCACAGGATTTGTTGAACCAGCCGTTGGGCCCTGGTTTAGGAACTTTTACTGTGTGAGGGATGTATTCCTCCATTCCGACGTGGATAATTTCGGTTATTGAAGAACAGACAGTCGACGCATCCGCGTCAGTGAAACAGACATATCTCCAAGGAAAGCTAGAGAAGAAGTCTCTGAACACCTCCCAGTCGGCATGTCCGTAATGCCAAGTTTTGCGGCCTGTGCGAGTTTCTGCTGCCACAGCGGCTTCTGACCGAAACCTAACCTCCACAACACCGTGATCTGAGTTACCCAGGGGGGACAGGACAGCAGTGCTGTAAGGGGTAGGATGCGTGGTCAGAAAGAGATCCAGCAGGCTACTGGTGTGTGACGAGACGCGGGGGAAAAAGTAGGGCTCGTCACCAGCTGGGTCAGCCCTTGAGTAAGAGCGAACGCTTCGACTGTGAGCTCATTATGGGCATTGAAATCACCGAGAAGGACTACCTCTGAAGCGGGGTGATTGATGTTCAGGAAGTCGATCTGGACGGCGAGGTATTCGAGTAGGTCATCCCAGTTATGGTTCGAGGGAGAGCGATAAAGGCACCAAATAAATTTGGGTGATGTTTTGGAGTTGAGGCGAAGCCACAGAATGTCCTTCCGGTCTGATTCCAAAGAAAGATCCCTGGAGCAGGAAAGACTGCTGCGGACAAAAGCCACAACTCCCCCGTTCTTTCTCAGATTGGAGTGCACCTCGTAGTTTGGGGAGTTGAGATGGTTAATCGGTGCAGTCTCTGAGATTTTTGTCTCCGCCAAGAAAAATGGCGGCGGCGGCAGTATTCATTACATACATCTTCAGTAACTCTAGAATAACACCCTGAAGAGTAAAAATTAGCAGATAATGCTGCACTATAGAAACAAATGACCGGAATGGGGACCTAATCAAAAAAAATTTTGGAAACATTTGAAGCAAAAAGTAGCTTCACCGAGTAATACATACCTAAACATGATCTTTTTGTGCCCATGGGCGTGATTGGTGACCACGTGTTATTGAGTGGGTTGTAACATTCAGCAGTGGCTAGGTCTGAGGCGCCATCGTAGCTACAAAATAAAAATAATATTTCTGTTTAGATATATTGGCTCATTAATAACTAAAATGCAACCTATACCTTTTTAGTAACAGCTCAAAAGCATTATTTGAATTTATAAGAAAATGCATAGAATAGAAATTAATTGCCTAGTGAAATAGTAAAAGACATCAATCAATTAAAGTTTTTTTATTTCAACTGGGGGCACTTGTGACTTCGTAGCAAGATGAATCAGAGGTTACACAATGCGCAAATCAAGTAGACGATTCGTAACTTCGTGTCAGTCTTGTTACTTACCCTCCTACAACGTAAAGTAGTCTTCTCAACCCTGTAACCCCCGATCTTGATCTGCGCCACTGCATAGGCGCTATCGAGGACCAAGTGTCCGTTTTAGGGTTGTACACTTCACATTCCGCATGAATGGCGAAAAGTGAGCCCCCACCTGCAAAAATTCCCAATGCTCTCATGATATAAAGCTTCTTACCATCGACATTATCAATATAAGATAATAAATGGCTTCAAGAATTGCATATCCACAGAAACTTTAAGAGATACACTAATACAATTTAAGAAATGCTGAGCATTGTAGAAAAGTTCTGAGGTATCGAAATTTTATTTCATTCTTACCTACTGCAAAGAGGTATGGGTCAGCACCACTAGGTTTTCTTTCCATGGTTCGCGTAGACGTTAAAGCACATCTCCTTTCAGGGGCCAAATGATACCTCATGGCCTCTAATAACAATTCTCTGCAGTCGTTATTCTCTCTAATAAGTTTTTCGTTATCTACGCGAGTCATCAAAAACTCTCTATTGACTAAAGGCAGTCTCACATGTTGCATTAACTAAAAGACAGAAAAGATAATTTTCGATCAAAACAAGAGGATCACTACTGAATTCAATCATTACTTTCTGAATAATGCGTACAGTAAAAAATTAAGTTTTGATTGATGTAGAAAACTACTAAGACCAAATTTTAAGGTTACTGTTTTAGGACACATTTTTTAATATTGTCTGGAACTTCGCCTAGAAATTGTAGATGTACTCTTTTCTCTATATGAACTAGACGCTAGAGCCTGCCCTCTGTTGCTCGGATAAACAAAAGGTTATGCTTTCTAAGAAGTCGTAATCAGTTTTTCAACGTCCAACAATTAGAATGTGACCCTAGTTCTGCCTTCGGCCAGATATGACGAAAATGACCTTTGTTCTCTGACGCTAAGAATTTGACGTAAAATATATATAAGACTCAGCATTATCCTTGAAAAGGGATAGGCAACCTGTTTAGCTACTAAAAAATGTAACATTGTTTAGGTAAAGACTACTCCATAGTTTCTTGAATGTTTGTTGTATCTTCATGTAACTGCTAGTAACCAATATATTCATATAGCACATTCGAGTCAAAGCAATCCACAAAACTGATCAGATACATTCAAACAAGAAAAACTAAAAATTTGTCTAATAAAATATCTGCGTATTCAATATAAAGATGTAACTTGTATGCCTATAATTATTCTATGACATTAAGCACACAGTTTATTTCTTCTGAATCCTATTGATCAAACTCTGGTGCTGAACTTTATTTGCCCTATAATAGAAGTTGTTTCAGCTTCGCTGTAACGCATCATTAACTTTCACGCCACATTTACTTCAAAACGTATTGAAAGGGGAGTTACATTTCGGTGAAATATTTAGAGGATCAATACGACCACACATACAATACAATACAATTGGATGATTGAAAAACATTCAAATACAAAATAGTTATGAAGGATTGTTTGGTGTTAAAAAATAAAAATATTGGTGGCAGCAATAGAGGCAACTTCACTTTCTTCTTACCCTAGGAATATGTTTACTTCTTTCAGCCAAATCATGCTTCACCCAGTTCAGAACTGCTGTGAAGACATCTTCTTCGGAAGAGATATTCAATTGACTATTGGAAATTAAATCATTTACCTAAAAAGTAGAGATAGAGTATGTATATGTTCTCTTGAAACTATCACTGTTCAAAAACAAACTTTGATTGTATAACAACTTTCATATGTATTTGTAATGTGAATATCTTACTTCATCAAATGGCAACAGTAAAAATTCCTCAGTACAAACTACTTGCTGGAAGTTTTGCAAAGCATATATATGCGATTTGTGATGCAACTCTTTACAGGAATGTGTATCTGGAAGAACAAGAAAATATTACTGCTTATTTTTATCGTTTATACTAATTTCTAAAGATACCTTATTGCTTGATGTAATTCATAACTTCAGGCGCTTCTGAGCTTTAAGACATAAAATATAAATTTCAGCGCAGTCGCGTTTGATTTTCAAAAAAAACACAGAAACTGAACACCTCGTATAAACAATGACAAAACTACATATCCGAAATACATCTTTACTCTAATACATGTGAACTTGAACAAGCGCGACTCACGGAAATTGAAATTGAAATATCTTCATACAAGCAAATCAAAACGTTGATCTGTTTCATTTGCATGAAGTTTAATACTGTACGAAAACGTCGATACTAAGGAAAACCAGTGAAAATACTTCGAAAAAAATTCAAATGAAAGCTACATTGCAATGAATGCTCTATACAAAAAAATACGTTTCTCTGTGGAAACATAGGAAACATCAAATATGAAATATCACATTTATCTTTCTGTTTTAATCTATGTAACAATTTTCAAAAGAGATTGTCAACAAACATTATCTCATTCCTGTTCGTACGAATCTTGCAAATGCATAAATTTACGAAAGAATTATGTTCCAGACCGTTTTGAAGTACTGAGAACATATAAAAACCACCTTTTTATTTTTAAAGTTTAGATCATACATAACATTAGTAAACAATAATTCGTCAGAAAATTATTGAATTATTGGGACTGATGTGAATGAACTGAAGATAGCCGACAAAAGTGTTGCTACAAAAAGTTATTTACTTTGAATTAGTTCCTGGAGTATACTTCACTAGTCGTATTTCAGCTATATAATTAATCTGCTTGTATATTTTTAGATACCAATTACTCCATAAATACTTATATTGACGTACAATATCACAGAGCAAGGTTGTGCTAAAAAAGCAGGCAAATGGTAGCAGCAGTTTCAAGAATCAAGTATTTAACTTTGATAATTTGTGATATAAATCACTTTGAACGAATTAACCATTAAGTCGGAATATCCATATGTCTGTACGGAGAGCTTCTCACTATCTATCCACAAAGATAACGATTTAAGTCTAGTGACCTGATATCTGCTACCCCAACCACATCACCACATTTGAGAGAAAGATATAAAGCACTGACACTTGTTGAACCTGCACCCTTACGCAACGGTAGGTGATAAGGAATTTTTCTGTACCGATACCTATGTCTGGGGAATTTATCTCTCCGACCTTCTCTCATTTGTACTTGAGGGTAGTTTTCTAGATGCTTCCCTTGCTTAGTTACTCTTTGGTTATAAAAAGCTACAAAAGCATAAACACCATATACTTACCAGCAAAACTTCTAATCCCCAAACAATTCGTTGGATGTAACTGTCTGAGAAGAAATCGACAACAAGCTTCTCTGACCTCTTGCATCTGTAACAAACTACTAGCTGGTAGAAGTACTTGAACGTTATCTGTTGTGATAACTATTTGGCCAGAATATGCGTATTCTACCAACAGCTCTATCGCCGTTGGATCTAGGTCATGAAGCTCTACTTCTGGAAGTGTGTGTTCTTTCATATCACCTACACAAAAAATGAAATGAAATGTGGGATCATGTAAATAGGCAAGAGCACACTTCAATTGTTGCATACACGCGGTAGAGATCCATCTAAGAATGGTGCATGTGATAAAACGAAGCGTTTAGCGATCGCCTTTTGCAGATATGGCCTTAAGGTCTCTAATATGGTATGATATATATCTTTTAGTTACAAGGGATCAAGGCTTGGATCCTCAGTCTCTAACAGTTATTGGTTATCCATGCGAACTACTTTGCATCACAAGTACTAGAGAGACTTTTGAACTCATCTGAGTTTTCCTCTTACCATCTGTGAAATTATTCTGCTACCATACAAAGCAAGAGAAACTAGGAGGTGATAGGAGAGAGAATTTCAGCCTACATAAACAAAGGCGAAAGGCAGTCGTTTAATTTTTTGTCAGTTTTCAGTCTAAATAATAAAAAGCTATCTGAGATATGGGTCAGCTTTCGATTGAAGTTAGTGCTTAAATACACCATAAAATAACCGCTATTCTGAAAACGTTTGTTTTTAATTTTCCTTAGAAAAAGAGTTGTGTCTAGCTCTAAAAGTTGCTAGTGTATTCCAGGTACAATTACCAGAAACGCTTGCCCGTATTGTTAGCTTGAAATGATAACAACCATTAGAATGAGAGAGTTTAGTTCTCAACAAAATCATGGTCAAATAATAATCCTTAAATCAACTAATAATTTTAATGAAACCTATCTAAGGCTACGGACCGTTATAGTAAACAGTTATTTCATCTAAACTAAATTCTTAGAATATCACACTACACATGTTTAGATAATTTCACCGAAACCATTATCCAAGCTATTCAAAACAATTGTATACGTTTCATCTTTGGCATATGTAAATTTGATCACGTATCAGCGAAATATCACGTTCTAAACTGTTTAAAAATTAATGACTTCGTCAAGTATCATTATTCAGTTTTTTTTTCACAAATAACTACTCACGCCAAAACCCTCTTACTTGAAGGAAAAATTTTAATTCAATAATGATATTCACTGTAGAACTTTTCGGGCAATTTTTCTATTATTTATAATGATCTTCCTAAAGTATATAAACAATTTTCGGTACATTTCTTTCGGCAAAAGGTTGAAACAATATCACTTAACCCCCCAAGCATATAATCTAAGTAATCGAGCATTTATTTCATCACTTGTTCTAGTGAGGTTAATTTTTGGTGTATTTGTAAAGTATGCCTATTTCTTTTCATTTTTTACTTTCGATGTAACTATCCAAATCTTCGCCATATAAGTTTGAACTACAACTCTGCTCAGTTCGAGCCTCTTAAATGAGAATGATGTCCGCATATAGTGTCTAGCTCCTGGCTTTGTCACCGTTGAGGAAAACGTGGTCCTTAGTTGCTTTGTGTGTACGATAAACTAAAGAAATTGCCCCATTACGTCGAATTCTCTAAAGCCTTATCACTACCCCTGTTATGTGTTTTCTATATGCAACTCCTTTGTACCGAAGACGTAGAAAATTCGACGATTGGAAAAGCGATGGCAAGATTTTTGGTGGGCCTTAGCAGCGACTCTGAAGAGCGATAAAAGGCAATGTTGCCGTCATTGATCATTCTCGAGTTTTCTACGTCTTTGGACCTTACATATCGAAGACACATAACACGAATAATTGATCTTTAGCTCATAGTAAATGCGGCAAAACTGCTGAGAGCCACTTTTTTTCTCAAAGATGACAAAAGCAAAAACCAACATGTGATTCTAGTAATTCTTACGCGCAATGTACAAGCAATTTTTCCAGCTAGACAGAACGTCATTCCAAGTAAAACTGAAAACGGAAATCATACTATTTTTTAGAATAGCTACTGTTTTATTTTTTAAAGTCTTTTCGCTCTTTATATGATCCCATCCTCATCATTTGAGTTGAAACTACGAGAATCAACCGCAGCCTCATCCATATCTCACAATTTCTTTATTATTTATGCTGACAAGCCCAATTCCGAGTGACTAGAAATTACAAGCATTAAAAACTCTGAAAACTATTAATTTTATGGTATAGAAATATAAGGTTTTTGTTGCATTTTATTTTCCACGTCTTGCGGCAAATTTCCAGTAGCCCTGTATAGTTTCTTCTTTCTTTAAACAAAAATGCATGCTACAAACATGAAAATCTTCGGTACTTACCATTGAACATTGCAAAAAAGTATGGGCTAACTGATGCCAGTACCACCTTGTGGGCTCTAAATTTTTCTAATCCTACTTTTAACGTAATGTCACACAGCTATAAAAGAAACAGAAAAACATAACGATAGGGGTCCAAAATCTCACCCTAATAATCTAAATACTATTTTTGGATACTATGTTTAGCATGCCAATGTTGAATTTTGTTAATTGGTTTTTTACTGACCCATAAAACTGTCTGCTATAAACGCAAACGCAGGGCCTACCAGGTGTGTTAAAATATTTGTTACTCAAGCAATGTCGAGAGAGAATTACATAAATAATGCAATAATAAAATAATATTAATTATAATTATATTAAAACAATTGCGTTAGAATAGGCTCTATAATTCTGTACATTCAGAAACAACTATTTTGAATTGGACGGTTTGTATACCAGTAAATGTTAACGGTAACAAGATCCTTAAGCTTATAGGGAATTATTATAGTGACTGAATTGAGTGTGGATTTTAACTTCTAGACTATAGGCGTGGAAAAGGTATTGTAGATTTTCCTTTTTGGATTTGAACTTATCAAAACTACATGCAAATATTCCCAAGCGTGCCCATTTCTACATGATTAGCCTTTTTTCGTCGTCGACATGAATGAACATAGCCAGGATTTAACTGATTGAAGCCTTTATGTTTCCTAGTCATTTTAAGGCATTAGCGGAACGTAGTTTTGGGGATAAAAAGCCTCAGAAATTGTTGTCATATTAAAAACGTCCGCGGATAAGACATTTTTTTAAAAACTTTATTTTGGGTTTTTGCATATAGTCAAAAAACGTTGTCTGCATCTAATACGTTTGGCTATCTTGCGACAAGTATTAAAGGATCAAGCTCTGAAGGTTGTGTGTTCGACCCTGGGAATAACTCAACTTCCAAGTTAAACGCATCTATGAAATTGTTGCATTTAAATATTTTAGAACATATGTATTTTAAGATTTTGTCACCATTTTTCTTTTTATTTTAGTACTTCATTGTTTTTTAAAAGCCAATTTTAGCATTTTTAACGAAAACCATTGAACCAGCGCAGCGGTCAACAATTATCTGAGATGAAGACACAGACACAGACACACTGCGCTCAGGATAAAAACAAAAGTCTCATTATAATCGTAAATTGAATTGTTTCAACCTTTCTTTTTACACACACCTCGGCAGAGCAACAATTTGCGGGTTTTGTGTCTCAGTGTGATTTATTATAAATTTTCAAAAATGATTGAATTTGAGACAAAAGTGCCAAAAGTGTGAACTTTGGGATTTTAAAAAACAATAAAGTACTGCAATAAAGAGAAAGATGTTGCTGAAAGTTGAAAGTTCGCATGTTCTAAAAGATCTAGATGCTAAAATTTCATGGATGCCATCAACTTGAAATGAAATATTTTCAGTGAATAAAATCCAGCTAACATCGCGATCCTTCTTATCGAGGACCTTCTATTTGTGAGTGAACCATATGAGTAAGTAAATGCAGGTACTTAGTGCTTCTATTCATTCCACTCTAAATGCTCTAATTTTTGTTCAACTAACCTGTTTTTTGTACCAAAGTAGTTGCGAAAGCACAGTCAAAGTATTGAAGCGAGTCAGATGCATATGTATTATCCTTTTTCTGAACGCACCTCGTAGATAATGAACCCACTCAGACTATTGCGTTCGTGACATTCGAACAAAAAAGTAACAAATTGGGTTATAGGGATAGAAACGTGGGAAAACGCAGAAATGGGTCAAGTAAACTGAGTTGGACGTAATCTGATATCGAGTAAACTTAGTGGCTATTGGTTTTATACGCCTGGAAGTGTTGGATATCGTACGAATTGTGACGAATAATAAAGGTTAAAAAAAGTGGGTCTATAGCCTAGAACTCCATGAACCACAAAATATTCGTCATATGTTGACGGATGCAGACTCTGCAGGCTACACACAACTCTGAACGTCGGAATAGGATGATACGACTAACCATAGTAGATATACGATCGTTTTTATGACTAAAGTCAAAACGATGATGGAATGCATACAGGGTGTCCAATAAGTACCACGACAAACTTAAGGAAAAGGTAGCCTTTGGACTGACCTCAAATAACAAAAACTTATCTATATAAAAGAGATATTGAATTTTTTTCTTAAATTTAAAAAAAAAACGAACCATTTCATCTGTGGTCTTTAACTGCATGTACAAATAAGGTTATACTTGCTTCATTTTTTCTATAAAATCCTTCTAGATAGTTGCTTTATCATATATACAAATGCAATGTAGTTACAAGATGTTAAGGAACCGTGATCAAATAAGGACTATTTTTGGATTCATAACTTTCTGATATTTTTTTTATTGTTGTTGACTATAGTCCGAATTCCAGTAGGTATCATAAAATATAATCAAGAGCAGTTAATAATATCGTTGTACTATTTAGCATGTCATTGGCCGGTAACTTAAATTTAAATCCAATAATTACATTGTAGTGTGTGTCAGACACTTACAAATCAAGTCACTTTTTTTCTATTCCAAATAGTACGTGTGGCGCCGTTCTGAAATCTGTATTCAATGAGCAATCATTCAGTCAATAAATGCAGTTATAGCCCAGTACATTTTTGTTTCACCACAGATGGTCAAAGTTCAGGAGACAATATCAGAAGGTTATAAATCCCAAAACAGTCCTTATTTTATCATGGTTCCTTAATATCTATTAACTACATTGCATTTGTATATATGATAAAGCAACTATCCAGAAATATTTAATAGAAAAAATGAACATAGTACAACCTTATTTGTACATGCAGCTAAAGACTACAGATACAGATGAAAAGGTTCGTTTTTTTTTTAATTTAACAAAAAATTCAATATCTCAAAAACGGTGATACTTTTATATAGGTGAGTTTTTCTTATATGGTAGGTCAGTCCAAAGCCTATCTTTTCCTTAAGTTTATCGTGGTACTTATTGGACACTCTGTATTTTAGTGGAAAAATTACCAATTTGCATTCAAACATTATGGACCCAACTCGCAGTATTCCCACCGGAAATTACTTTTGTACATGCTATGGACAATGACTTTCTGCCATTTTCTTTCATTCGGTATGTGGTGGATCTCACAATACGCTCTCGTTTGTCCAAAGTTTTTTCACGAACAGTTTCCGAGATATGAGAGTCAATATCCTATAACAGCGTATTGTGGATTCGGTACACGATATGAAGCAGTCTCATCCCTACTAACTAGTTCACCATCATTGCAATTCTTTCAGACATACAGCGCGGCCTAAGACTGCATGAGAATTGCTCCAGAACACAAGTTTTCAAAAAAATTGCTCAAGATTATCCTACACAGTCTCTGTGGGAATGCATTTTAAAAATTTTGAGAATTATACAAGATGTCGCACTACTCAGCTGGTAAACACAGGTGTTTTTTATATACAGGGTGGCCAAACACGTGACGTCATAAAAAAAAATTAGATTCCCCACATCGAGAGGAACCCAAATCACCCCCATATATATGGTCCGATTTTGTTTAGTTTAGGAGTTATGATTTTTTTTCGGATTTTTCGAGAATTTTTGAGTTCTGTGTTTATTTTTACCATAACTTCGTTAATAATTGTGATAAATGCCTGCTTTTTTCACGATTATGTAGCTAAGACCCAAGGCTTAACTATCATATAATCATTCAAGTCATGTAACTAATACTACTTTTTAATTTTTTTCAAAATCTTCGAACATAACAAAAAAGTAAAAAAGTGCAACAACTTTGAACGTTTATAAAAAATTGAAAAAACATGTTCTTACTATTCGTAAGTATCTTAAAAACTCCCTTACGGTATCAGCTATTTACCGTAAAAATTTCATCAACCTATCTTTACTACATGCTACCGTAATTGTGGCTCAAATAGAACCGAACCCAAAATTGGATAACCCTCTGCTCAATAGAAATTGTTAGTTTCGGAAAAAAAATTTGCAAAAACCACAAAAACACGTTTAATTTTTACTGAACAGCAGATTATTATTCATTTATGTTATTTACAAGAGGTTTTCAAAATGTCTGCCTCTAACAGAAATGCACAGTGTACACCTACGTATGAAATTTTGTTTTAAATCTCTAAATGCTTGTGTGTTGTTTTTCAACACATGTGTCGCTTCTTGAATTTTGTTCCTCAATGAATTTTCATTTGCACATTCTTGGGCGAATGTTATGTCTTTAAAATATCCCCAAACAAAAAAATCAATGGGGTTGAGGTCAGGGGAGCGTGGAGGCCATCGTATCGGTCCGTTTCGTCCGATCCATCTGTCTGGGTACCTTTCGTTTAAGTAGTTTCGCACGATATTCCTGACCACATGTTCACACTAAAACGGTGTTGAAATGTCGACGGCCTTGACTGGTACAACGAGTACGAGATCTATGGCACAAAACCTTAGAATACCACGAACATCGATACAAAATATTCTTCATGAAGAAGGTTATCATGCCTATCATGTTCAAAAAGTTCAAGCGTTGATGCCTTCAGATTACCAGTGGATTTCTGCGAGACAATGCTGCGAAGACAACGAGAGGATCCCGATTTTTTTGATAAAATTTTATGGACTGACGAGTCACGTTTTGAAAGAACAGGGATATTCAATATCCATAATTTACATACTTGGGCTGTTGAAAACCCCCACCAGTCAAGGCCGTCGACATTTCAACACCGTTTTAGTGTGAACATGTGGTCAGGAATATTCAATATGGAATTTATCGGTCCATTTGAACTGCCGTCAAGGTTGGATTCGGTAGCCTACAAAAGCTTCCTTGAAAATAGCCTACCATTATTGCTGGAAGATTCAAGCCTGGAAGCCAGACGGAACATGGTGTTCCAGAATGATGGTGCACCATGTCACAACGCAACGATCGTGCGAAACTACTTAAACGAAAGGTTCCCAGACAGATGGATCGGACGAAACGGACCGATACGATGGCCTCCACGCTCCCCTGACCTCAACCCCATTGATTTTTTTGTTTGGGGATATTTTAAACACATAACATTCGCCCAAGAATGTGCAAATGAAAATTCATTGAGGAACAAAATTCAAGAAGCGACACATGTGTTGAAAAACAACACACAAGCATTTAGAGATTTAAAACAAAATTTCATACGTAGGTGTACACTGTGCATTTCTGTTAGAGGCAGACATTTTGAAAACCTCTTGTAAATAACATAAATGAATAATAATCTGCTGTTCAGTAAAAATCAAACGTGTTTTTGTGGTTTTTGCAAATTTTTTTTCCGAAACTAACAATTTCTATTGAGCAGAGGGTTATCCAATTTTGGGTTCGGTTCTATTTGAGCCACAATTACGGTAGCATGTAGTAAAGCTAGGTTGATGAAATTTTTACGGTAAATAGCTGATACCGTAAGGAAGTTTTTAAGATACTTACGAATCGTAAGAACATGTTTTTTCAATTTTTATAAACGTTCAAAGTTGTTGCACTTTTTTACTTTTTTGTTATGTTCGAAGATTTTGAAAAAAATTAAAAAGTAGTATTAGTTACATGACTTGAATGATTATATGATAGTTAAGCCTTAGGTCTTAGCTACATAATCGTGAAAAAAGCAGGCATTTATCACAATTATTAACGATGTTATGGTAAAAATAAACACAGAACTCAAAAATTCTCGAAAAATCCGAAAAAAAATTATAACTCCTAAACTAAACAAAATCGGACCATATATATGGGGGTGATTTGGGTTCCTCTCGATGTGGGGAATCTAATTTTTTTTTATGACGTCACGTGTTTGGCCACCCTGTATATATATATATATATATATATATATATCCATATATTTTATTACATATTTGAACACACTTAATCTAAATCTTCATCAAGTAATCGGTATCATGGTCTTTTCTGGTCGCTAATTATGATCATGTTATCAGAATTGCAATATTTCTGAATCGTCGCAACCAGTATACAGATACTGAGAGTGTTTTTCCAATCCATCGATGTCAAATGGGGGTACACTATCTCAGCTTAAACACCAGGCTTCCCGAAAAAGCTATCGTTGAACCATTACGTTACAGAAATACTGGGTTGAGGTAAGTCCGTCCCTGGCGATCGAAATAACTTAACCGTTTTGATGGCCCCCAACTGGTTACTAAGCTATCAAATTTCGTTGAATGCTACCGTGTCTCCGAGTCACGAAGCATTTTTTAAACGTTCTTCAATTCAAAATTTCTTTGTGATCTTGTTTAATATCCTAAAAGTCGAGCGGTGTAATGGAGGGTGTTACTGAAGAGAACATTTGTATGAAACTGTGCGCGATAACATATCCCCAGACATTTACCGGAGGGCGGTAATTTCCAGTGTGGATACTGTAAGTTGAGTGTTATTCTCGTAGATGCAAAATGGAATTTGCAATTACAATTATTTCCATAAATCTAGGCGTCCCGTCTATTCTTTATCTCTAAGCATGCACTCTTGGACGCATCACACCATCAACAAAAAGAAATACCTAGAAGCTGAGGAATATTAGATCAACACCTGGACTAGAGATCAACCAATACCGATGGATGTGCCAATATACCGATATAGGACAACCAATATATATTATAAGTAGATAAAATTGTGAAAAACGACACAGTGAATAAACAAATGTATTTTAATTGTACTGAAGTAACCTCTTTCCGTCATGTCGATAATCTAACAACCACTTTAGTCTCTAGTTTTACCTCAATCGTCTAGTGATTTCATTTTGGTAATATCTCGTCGTTTCTGTGATATCTATAAAAGTGATACTTCCTCATTTCAGACATGTCCCCGATTTCCAAAACCGAAATATGTTTTTCTGCTTGCACAAATTGCAATGTCTCCGTCAATCTTTTCATTAGAAACTTTATCAAGTTTTTATCTAGTTTTTCGTGCACATGTCCGTATTAACTGAAACAGGTCGAGTAAACGTTCAACCTTGCATATATTTATCAAGCTTCGACTAGCAGTATTTACAGACAGAGCTTGAGCAAGTGCACATATAGTGTCTACAAATCGGCAGACCTTTGCAAATCTATTTTGTATTTCTAAATTGCAGTTTTCCACTATTTACACCTGATACAGAGTTTTCTTTATCTCTTTTTTTGAAACTCAAAACGAAAGCACTCAACGTGATCATGTGGGTATCCTTCATAGTTCTTTAAAATGCAAATGTTCAACCCCGTCTACACCGCCGCACTGGCTGAATGCAGCAAAAATTTGAAAAAGTATGCTTGCCAATTACACAGTTACATGTAGTCACCATGTCATTTAATTTAATTTTACATATTGTTAAAACTTGTACCAACCAAAACGCATTGTGTGTGGCCATCAATTGACGGGTTTGTGGCCTACGTGCTCATCCGCTAGTATTCAGAAACAAACTAACGGCCTCTGATATATCGTTATAGGCCGATTATTATTTATCGATATCAGCGAAAATTCTATAAAAATCGATCTCTAATCTGGACGTACCTGAGAGTCAATTTACTTACTTCACCTTTAGTTTTAATTACTTATTATTCAAGAGTTGACGTCATAGTTGCATTAAATACATTAAATACCAGATAGGCGCTATCTAGTGACCTTGATTACGCTATTTTAAGTAAATGACTTCATAGCCGCCTTCGTAAGAATGTATTCAATTAAAGAACCCTATGATGTTGTTTATCGTCAGTTTTATGATTGTTTATTCACTACATAGGTCAACGTCGGAGGGTTTTATGATGCGTAAAATTAACTCGGATTAATGGTACTATGACACCGCTTGAAGATGCTTCAAAGATGGCTAGCACATTAATAAGTTATGAAAAGCTTTACAATTTATTTCTTGGTTTCCTCGAAGCTTTGAATATTGAATTATAAGAAACGTTTTGAGTATTGTGGGACACACCATGATTCCAGACTGAATTTGAATCAGCCCAATATCTAATTTATGCAGTTGTGGTTTAGATAATTACAACTAGGGATATAAAATTTACGCTGACATCAATAATCCGCTAATATCAATGTATCAGATACATTGTACGTAGGCTACAAATAAGTCTATTGATGGCTTCAGAATGTATCGCTACAAGTAGATTTGACTGAGATTTCTTTGAACAAATATACATAAAGTGCATGGTGACTACAGGTAGCTGTATATTTGCAAAGATAAAATTCAATACATTCCTCCAAGTACTCTGTTGTTTTTTGTCGCTTTTAAACGTTATTGCCCTCATGGTTTTTTTACCTTTATCAGCAAATCGGCGGCAACATCCACCAATTTATACTTGTATATCGGCAAAATAGGTTGATATTTCCAGTATGCCCATACACATATCGGTATCGGTCGATCCCCACTAAAACTACAAGTTCATATAAGAGACTGTCTCGCACTTGTCTGGCTTAATTTTGTTTTTGACCAGGCTCTTAAAAAAGGAAACTAATAAAGCGTTATGTGAACATTTTTTTAGTGATTGAAAATGTAATGAGACCATCCTACATCCAAAACGATTTCTCACTGACAAAATGGAAAAACTATTGTTGTACTTTTACTGCAGAGAAATACAGTGTTTCCAATAAAACCATAATATTACAATTTACCGCTTTCTGGATGAGTCGCGCATCAGCCACAAAAATGGATGAAGTAGCGAATTCCGTGCCAAGTTTCTGCAGTCCTTGGTACCAAAGGTTATTCGGTATTTGACGTTTCTTGAGCCGTTTATATAGAGTTTTAGCACATGCAAGCTGCGTGTCCCTGTATGTTTTTCAAGCCTTATCATCATGTACTCTTATATAGATATGAGTAATAATCAGAAAGTAAGTAAACGGTTAGTACGTATACCAAAATCCGGCATTTGCATCCCTTGCAGTAGATTACAGAAAATCAAATTTGAAGACGCTGATATATCTACTAACCTCCATATGTATTGACGCTCATGCACATATTTGCTCCACTGGTCGAGATCTATATCACGACACGTTACACAAAGTATGCTTCGGAAGTTATAAGACTCCTGACATGTCCCCTTTTCTCGGAATATTCTTCCGGGCTTAGTAAAATATTTTATACTATAGCAATTTTGTTTCACCGCCCAATTTTGCTGAACTCATAGGTTGGCATGGACCTATCAGACAAGAATGGATCCAAGTGAGAGGTTTTTGAGTTCTACATTCTCAAACAATCAGAGTAGATTTTTAAAATGGCTTCGGTAAAGGATTCATGGAGTTGGTCATTCGGTAATCGCAGTTTCATTTTGATTGGAAAAGCTCGTAATGCCGTTGTGCTGTGATCGCTTTTCCACGTTTAATAAATATTATAGTATGTCGTTGAATCAAGAAATCGACTAAATATTAGCGTTAACAGCGATCAGAGGAAATACATTTGTATTGCTTCGGTAAACAAAAAGACAATTAAAAAACTTTCTCATGAAATTCTTTTCACGTATTTTTGATCTGATAAAAATATATTTCCCTCATTGCTCTACAATATACAATGCAGAATACATTCCAAACTACTAAATCCAAATGCTGATTATGCTCTCTCACCTGCCCACTTTGTCGCATTTTCTGTATATTTGTGAGTGCTTGGTGACTATGCCCAGTCGTCTTGAGACTGTACCCCTTTTGCGAAAACAATGGCGAATCGCACGTCTCATTGGTCGGCGTTTGAGTGGAGGCCTCAAACACGACACTGCTGGTGCTCGTGCTTGGAGTGGATGTCGATGTCGGAGAGGACTTTTCTACGGTCGACGAACTGACGAGACCTCCACCTGCACCGGAGTCGAGAACGTCTTGTTCTATTGAGCTCATCGCCTAGAAAACAAAAGAATATCGCAAATGGGGTGAATGAATATGCAGATTACGATGAGCACGGCTTAATGGAAGGATTTTAATTATCTCATGATATAAGATCTTACCGGAATCCGTTTTTAATAATGTACCTAATACAATTTAATGCTACCTGCCTTGCGGCTTTAACTTATAAACACAAACGTATAATATAAAACAAGTAGGTATGGGTAAAAAAGAAAAATAATACGCAAAGAAAAAGATATCGACGCAAATTACCGGGTCATCCGTTCCTATTATTATGATGCTTGCCCACTTGTTCCAAATATCCACTCCACTGCATAACTGTTAATTTTACCATTTGCTCCGAGTTGTGGCCTCAAGCTTTCACAACTGCTCATCATTTTCCATCTCGCATTCACTCTTTTCGCAATCATACATTCTCGTCTTACATGCTCTGTACTTTCAATTCCTCTGTTACAAACACCTTCACGTATTTCGGTCCCCAACCTAAATCTATGCAAGCAGACCGGAAAAGTATCATGTACGGTGACAAGCTGACACACCCTAAGGCTTAGGTACAGCGTACTTTCTCCGACGTCTTTGCATACTTCATACACTTTCATTACTCTCTCATTTGCGGCCATTCTCTCATTAATTCTAATCTTCGCTTCCTGTTTGTCATTCGATTTCCTGTTTTTCTCGTCCTAGTTCGCTTTAATCATTACTGCATCCTTCTTTCTTCTAACCTATAAAATCCTCACCTGCATACATATCTCCCTCATATACGCAATCATTTCTTCCATTTTCACCCTGATCCTACTTTTTATCCATCGCCCATTTATGTATCTGGCGACGACCTGACTATCTGTTCTATCAGCGGCGTCCAATCCTGCTCTTTTTGAAGAAATTTCCATATCGCTACCATCTCTCCGTGCGATACTCTCTCTACCCTTTCCATCCATTCCATGCATAATTCGTTGTTCTTATTCACCTCCCATATCAGTCTTACACCTTCTTTCATACTAACAACTGCACTTGCGGTCCATCCACTTTAGGGCTATATCTTTACCCAACACCTTGCTCTCAGCAATTTAATTCCTTCTAACACGCCTCTCCATCCACTTCGCGTTCAGTTTAGTTCTAACGGTTTCATTTATGTAATGTAACTCTTTTATCCTGTGGTTTTCATGGTGACAGGACGCCATTGTCTGACCGAATCAAAGCCCGCCTATATGATTTAACTTCAGTTTATTTTGTATACTTGAAAAAGGCCCGCGTGGTGGCCGAATCGTCGTACAATAAACAGAAATTGAAAATATATATGTTCTTAGGCAATAAAATCGCAATGGGAATTTGTGGTACGAAGATCGCATTCACCGCGGCAAAAATAGAAAATTCGAAGGACTATAAATGCCAGATAAAGCCTTTTTAATTGCTCTGAAATTGGTAATTACCCTTAAGGTAGGTAAACAGGTAAACTCGCATATTTGTTGTAATTTCTGCCTGATGTACGACGTCATTGTACTTGAAGAAAGCCACCGTAATGACAGAAAAATGTGGTTTTGATTATGCTGGACAATGGAATGAATTGTTTTTGTATGATACTAATTGTGTATCGAACTGATGAGCTTACCCGATTTGATTCGGGCAGTAATATTGTGGTCCATCTACTGATCCTCTTTGACTTACTAAGATTGTTATTTTGAGGGATAACACATTTTGAAAAATACTGATAACAAGAGGATTGTGTTGAGGCGCCGTTCGGAGACAACAACGAGGTGCCCACGCCTGGCTACATAGTCGCGAGACTAGTATCGATGTATCTGTAAAGTACTCAGATTCAAACCAAAAAATGTATGTAAGGGCAATTACTGTTACACCATACACACCTTTTACCTAAACATACCTAAAGTTAAATTTGGATACCTCACAGTGACATTCTGACATTGAAAGATTAGCTATATATGATAGATATGCCACTAGTTCTGCCAGTCATTTCCGTCGGACTGTTTGTCTGTCTGTCGATCTGTTCGTTAATTATTGTACCGCGTTTAACTATAGTTGTAGTGACAGTTCTTGGCGGGTCAAAGTAAGACTACCAGTATCCCTTTATGAATCTCCATCTCCCTCATACATACACATGCAACCGACCCCTGTGTGTGAACGTTTGTTCGGTAAGCTCAAAGACACGTTTTTTGGTTGTTTGTCTCCGTCTCGAAAAGTTTGTCGTTACCTATGAGTGCCCTTCAATCATATTTGTCAGAGTGAAAACTTACTTGACATCGACGTGCAATTTGAGTTGTCCTGTTATCAATCTTCAATATAAAATTTTACAATGCCCGGAAATACGATCAATGGAGAAGGCCGACAGCTCGTGCTAAATTTATTAGAGTATTTCCAGGAAGATAATGAAAACAGCGGTCCCCTGTTACCAGTACTGGACAGAGTAGCAGATGCGCTGAAGATTAGTCTGCGCAGTGTCCAGCGAATAAAATCAGAAAATAAGAAAGGTTTGCCCATAGTAACACCTGGGGAAACTCACAAAATCAAAAATGCAAGACCGATTATGTAAGTGATGCCATCAAAACAGAAATTAGGAATGTTTTCTACGATATGAGAAGTAAAGGACATAATATCACGACCTCTGCGCTCAATCAGGAGCTTGAAAAAGGTAAATATACAACACCTCGGATGCAATTTTGAGGCGTCTATTGAAAGCTTGCAGTTTTTCCTACAAGACAGACGACAACTGCCGATTTTTGTGTGAAAAATCATTGTTTCAGAACGCATCTATTTTATGAGATATGAATTATTTCAACTTCAAAAAACATCAAATGGCGCGTCACACTCTACCCATGTTTATGTACTAGATTATAAGATTTTTGAGAATTACGATTAGTAAATAATTTTTAATCGATTTCCCTCCAGTTAGGAAAATTAAGTTCCGCCCATGGTACGGAGACTCGGTCTAATTACTTATTTCATCTGGCGCTGATGACGTAACCACCAAGAACGGTCACTACAACAGTAAGAAAGTACTACTCGGATTTGGATGAAGTTGGGGACACAAACACGAAAAAAATTGCTGAAAACTCGTTTTTGACGGGCACCTGATTATCTTTAGAAAAAAAATGTGCAGTAATTGAAAATCGAGGTTTGGTATATTTCATTTTGTTGGCCATATGTAGTAAAGTTATACTCTTTAACCACAGTAATTGTACGCAGTGCCACCTATCAGTACATATTCCACACATTTCCCCGTACATTTGCCTGGTAACTTGAAGAAATATTTATAGACTAGACACTTAGACAGAACCTATTTAGTACTCAGCCGATTAGCCTAGGGATATTTTATATAGTCTTTATTTAAGGTATATCCTGTAAAAAAATATCACAAACGGATAGGGATATTGAGAACAGGGTTTCCGTTTAACTCTCTCGGAATGGTGAAAAATTGTGCGTTTTATAGTGTGCATTGACTTTTCTGTTTGTGAGACAATCTCAAAAATCAATTACTGAACTCAACGGTATATATGTGTTTAAAAATCGAAAAATTTTACGTCCAGCGACTTTGATAAGATAAGATAACCATTTCAGTTTGTTTTTTTGTCGGTATATTTTCATTTACAGATCTTTTTGTTTTGTAACAACACACAAGTAATCTCAATATATTGCCATTAACATAAATGACGGTTACTAATGCTCAATCAATGTACAATAGTCTTATTTTTTTTAAACACATACAATAGAAGTATTTGCTCAAGAGGAGAAATACTGTAGATAATAGAAACCGAAATTGTTTTTATATTATAGGTAAATATATTCTAATATGTGAATTGATTCTCTTTGTATTGCATATTAAATAAATATGAATGTATTTGTTAAACCCTAATTTCTGTTTAGTCATTTCCCTTTCATGGTTTAATTTTCAAAAATGTTTATGAAAATACATCCTTGTTTGATTGGTTCCAAGGTAAGTTTACATCACAATAGTAGTTTATGGCTAAGACCACTAACTGTGGCAGTATTGAGCTAGCATTTCAAAAAGTATGATAGATCCCATGCACCACAAAATGTCCCTCGTGTCAACGGTTGCAAATTCGGGAGACCAAATCGTCAGACTAGTGGCAAAACTTTCATACAGAAATGTAACACAGTAAAATTCCCAAATACAAATCAAAAATAGAATGTCTGATTCAGTTTATCTCAAATTTGAATTCTGTATTTCTGGGAGTCATCTTTCTGCATGCGTGTTGTGCCACTAGTCTCTCGTTTCGATCTTGCAATTTGTCTTCTATCGCGGTTTCTCGGCAGCTATATTTTCTTGCCCAACCATTTTAAACCATCAAACTTCAAGCTCTTGAAAATCAAACGTCCGAAATGCAAGCTTTTTAAAGCGACAACTGTGGTGCGGCAAGGGGAGAGGCAGAGGTGGTGGTCCAACGTGGCGACCAAATAGCCAAATAGCGGCAATAAGGTGGTAATGCTTCAATAATATAATTATTAGCATTACTGCCCTGTATGGATGCGAATTGGCAATTTACGATTTTTTACAAATCTGCTGTGAGAGATTCAGTATGTTTGTCGAAGTTTTATTCAACAAATGAGCTATACTGATGCCTGGGTTGTTTGAAAACATCCACATGGAATTGGAAAACTTGAGGAAGTACTTTTAAATCAACAGGGATAACATTTCATACTGTATGTTGACATTGAGACGGCATCGTACATATTCATCTTTCTCCAAGTTACAAGCAAAGACATCATGCCATATCATTCATCACCCAAAAAACCAAAAACGTGTGTATTACAATCTATAGAGCAGACTCACGACTCACCAATTATACAGGGTTATCCAAATTAAGTGTCCACCATTAGTAACTTTGTTATTAGTGAAAATACAAAGTTGTTTGAATTAGCAAACTAGTAGCATTTTTAACGCTGGTAAAAATGAGAAATAAAAAAAAAACAATTGAGAGTCGTTATTTTGATTTTTTTCAGTAAAATAACATTTTTTTAAA